TGGTTTCTGCATGATTAGAAGAAGTTCTTTAGAAACTGATTGAGTCACTTTCAGTAACGTCCACATGAACAAAAATTTCAAATTACAACAAAATCATGTGCCAGACTCAAATCCAACTATGAACATCTTGACAGCTGATGTCTACAGAGGCTCTTTGTCCAAAACTGACTCAGCATGAATCATTTTACAAAGAATGAAAGAAAACTACAGTTTTTAGATCTGTAGCGGTGTTGTACTTTCCAGGTTTTATTTGTTAGATAAGAAAAAAGCTGTGCTTTTTGTTTTTTGTGTTTTCTTCCTCTTCACATTCAGCCACCATGTTTATCTTATAGAAACCATAATACAAAGCAAAAACAATGTGATAAAATGTGCATATTGAAGGAGGGTGAACACTTTTCCAGACTTTTCCTGCAAAAAGACAAAACATTACCAAGTATTATCAAGTATTTTTGGTTTACTTTTTAGTACAAATACTTTAGCTACACTATAAATAAGACAAAAATAGGACATTTTCCCCATGACTCCAAATTAAAGGCTGTTTTTTTTTAAATTAAGTAAAGTAATAATAATTTGCTTGATTTTTGTTGTTGTTTAAAAAGCTCCAAAAGGTTCAAGCTTGGAAGGTAGAAGGATGGAAAGTCTGCTTACTTCTGGAGGACTGAGTTGAACGAGGACAGTAAAACTAAAAATAAACACCACCACCAGGGAGCAGCATTCTGTTGATTCTGACTGCTACTGCTGTGACTGCTCAACTTCAAACGCTCACACACTGAGTGGCCTCTCTGGCAGAAAAATGCCACGCTTCAGAGATCTAACAGCTCGATTTGAGAAAAGTCCCTCTCACATCCCCCAAGGGCGGGTGGTTCCACTCCAGTTCCTCGGAAACAGCCGAGTGGTTTTCAGTACGTTAGCAGGTGTCTACGTGTTTGTGTCACACGCCAGTTGATGAAAAGATATCTTTAAGGCCAGAGGGGGAAGTGCTGAAACTAGAACGAGCTCCTCCCCCCCCCCCTGGCTCCGGCCGACCCGTTGGGTCTCACCACGGCTGAAGAGAGAAAGAGAGAGAGTGAGGCTTTGCAGCACTTCCTGAACAGTCTTGGTTTCTGTTTGGGGCTTTTGCAAAAGTGACAGGTTCTCCTGGGGGCGACGGCGCTATCGCCAAGTCACTACTGACATTTCAATATGCCTGAGTGAAACTGAACTGTCTGTGACCGCCCAGGGCCCGGGTCAGAACTATCCCTGACTGCCATTTTAACGAGCTGCATGCCGTACCGGTTGTTAGCCGTGAGGTCGCACTGGAAGCCGGACGGCTGGTGGGCGAAGCGGACCAGGGGGCAGCGAGCGTTGAGAATCTTCTGCACGCCCACGCAGCCGGGCCCAAAGTGGTCCACGCATTCCCCAATGACGGACAGGATGCTCTGGGTGACGTGGCGCTCCGAGTTGGTCTCTTTCATCTGGTACTCGACGCTCAGGCCTGATTTGGCCTGGAGGAATACAGGACACACAGGATTAATTACATTTGTCTTGACCCTAAAGCCACAGTCATGCTGTTCTTATTCATAATTTTTTTTTAAAAAATGTGTTAGATGAGCCTAAATGTGAAGAAATGAGACCAGTTTTCTTTTCCATCACAAAGGTTTGTGTGTGTTATTCTGTAGGATGTGTGTTTATTGGGATGAAAGTAAGAGAATCCACAAGTAGCTGATAAATCAGTCCTGATTTCCTCCATTTTGGCAGATCGACGATCAGCCGACACTTCCATATGAAGTCAATCTTTGTACGCAAAGTCTAAAAATCAACCATCGTCCTCTGTCGCTATGAACGAAGCTTGACTGTTGGCCCCGCCCACCAGCTCATGTCTACACATCAGCAGTTAACAATAAAGACCCCACTGTTGCCAACTCAGCAACGATCTTCTTAGGGACATTCAGACAAAAATATAAAAACATTGGTAGCAGATAAAACCTTTAACTTAAATAGATAATAGTGTGATTGCAGTATTAGATTTTACAATGCAACACCTATGGATCCAGCACATGGATCCTCTGTAATCTCTCAAAATTCTGCAAACTGCAAACACAGAAACTGATGAATGCCAGTGGGATGCTGACAAAACCCACATTCACGCAAATCTACGCTTAGCTTTACGGGCTCAAGACGCAGCGCCAGCATCACCATTACCGGTTTAAAGTTCCAGCCGCTGATGCTGTCCAGGTCCAGGAACATGTCCAGGTCGCAGCCGAGCTTCCCAAAGCCGTTCACCGAGGAGCCAAACGGCCTGATGGTGCATTCTGGGAAATAAGCGGCGGCGACGTCTTTGAGCAGAGAGCAGACGAGGAAGCGCAGCCTGCTGTTTTCCTCTGTAAGCTGGTAGGCCTCAGTTAGGGCGCCGATCTGATCGTCTACCTGGAGAGACGCGAGAGTGAGAAGACTCCGATCGGTTCTGCCTGAAACGCAAAAAACCCAACCAGGGTCAGGCCCCTGATGAGCCACATGCTTACGCTGTCCTCCCTGGAAAGGCGCTGGATGAGCTCGTTAATGGAAACGGTGGTTTGAGGTCGGCACGGGAACCCCGGCTGCTGGGCTGGCGAGGCCGCCACGCTCTGGTTGCTCAGCGACAGCAGTCTGGATTTAAATGGCACCATGCATTCGTGCTTGATCCTGGGAATGGCCGCCGACTCCAGTAAAGAGATGACGCTGTCCCGGCGGGCAAACTCCACCACAGCGTAGACACCCTGAAGGACGCACACCCACAGCTCCGTCTCACACACACACAGGCGGGAAGGCGGAGATCGAGCTCACGACTTAAAACACACACACACACGCACGCATGGCGTCTCTCACTTACGTAGCTTTCGTAAAAGAAGTGCTTGTTGATGTCGCCGTGCTTTGATAAAAACTTAAGGAACTTTTTCTCGCTGGTTCTGAACGGGCAGCTGATCAGAACCGACTTCTCTGCCTGTTCCTGTCGATCCGCCATGAGCTCGGACAAAGACTTGGGCCCATCTCTTTCTCCTGGAGGAAAAACAACCACAATCACAGGCTTTCCCTCAGGAGACCACAGGTTTCATTTAGGGAGAGACATTTGAGTAAAATCGATGTCTCAGAAGTGGATCGAGACATTCTGGACTATTTTTGTTTCTTTCCCTCCATCTAATTGGGTTTCATGACACGTTTAGTAGACAAAAAAAAAAAAAAGACATTACTAAAAGTTCACAGTTACTTTATGCTTTTGGTTGTAAATATTTAGATATTTAGATTGAACAGAAACTTTGTTCTTACACTTATTTAAAGGTTAATTGCAGCTAAGCATCAAGAAATAAATCAATTCATCAATAATAAATTAAAATAAGTTCAACAACTTTCAATTGCATAATATATAATTTATTCATTATAAATACATATATATATATAAAACAAATATATAAAATATTAGTTATATATATATATATATATTATATATTATATATATATATATATATATATATATATATATAATAAACTAATATTTACTGTATTTTGTTGGGTTATAGTTCGGACTTTTAGATGTCATTAACAGACTTCATGAACTCTTCTTTAACTCGCTATTTTCAAATGATACCTTCAATATTTGATCTAATAAGGTGTTTTTGGTCGTCATAAATCATGCCGAATTATATGTGTGCACAAACCGTATCTTAAAGCGGTTTGTAATCTTTAAAACACTACAAGCCGCGTAAACAATACCTAAGTGAAAAGAAATCGAAAGTTTTCTCTGCGGACTCTGTAATGGTTTCTCCTTGGCACAACAACTGACCTGCAAAGTAATGGATTTAACACGTCATATTACTGACCACTGTCGTCTCCTTGAGCTCCCTCGGTGTGAGCGACCACCGGCTCGGTTCCTAAACTCCGACGGAGTATCGTTTCGATTGTGTTCAGGCATTTCACAACGGGGCTCCTTCCTCTCGTATGTAACCTGTGCACAATGAAGGGAGACGCCATTGCTGTTCGGAAGGATGACGAAAAGCGCATGCGCGAGGAGAAGACGTGCGTACAGCAAGCGAGAAGTTCCAAACGTAACTCATTTCATACGACAGGGCTCCTTATGAATGTAGAAAAAGTGAGGAATTCATTTATGTTGCATTGAAAGTCATTCTATGCGGTAAGAAATGTATTCATAAGTTGAAAAAAAAATTTAAGACTGTTGTCAGTCTGCAGGTCCCACTGTTGAATGCTAAAATAAAAAGATGGATATAGTTTGGTGGCTTAATGCTGAAGTTTATAACGTTACAGCCTGAAAAAACCGGAACAAGAATGTCTCTAGGATAAAGCCTCTTATCTCGAACAAGCTTATTTTAAGTAAATCACCATTACATAGAAAATTGGGCAGATATTTCAAATTCATAACAGGAAAACGATCTACCAATGCTGACTCATTTTTCATCTCTTGTATCTTGCAGAAAAACTACTTTTGAGTCAGTTTTGTTTTATTTCAAACGTGCTGAGATATTTTCACTAGTAACAAGAGAAAAACATCTGGATCAAATTATGTGTTTTTGCAATGTATATCTATAGTATTCTGACTGACGCATCTACATTTCTTTTTATTAGAAATAAAAAGAAATGTTCCTTGAAGACAGTCCATTAGACAACTGCATTACAGGCCAGATAAAGTAAAGGCTGCTGTTTCCTTCCATCTCCTGTGTGGGATGGTGACTCTTCAGCTAATTTATTTCCCCTCTTCTTTCACATCTTCACCATGGATGCCCACAAACTCAAAGGACTCTCTGCCTTCTCCTCCCTCTCGTATTTCTTGACGTAAAAGGTCTTTGAACAAAAAGAAATGGTCTGAGCAAAAAGGGAAAAAAACAACCTTTTGACTTTCCATCTCTGAATACCAAAGAAAAAAGGCAAACCAAAAGCTGCAAAGAGAAAGTATCCGCCCAACCAGCGTCATCTCCTACGTGCAGTCGACATATAACTTCCTTTGTTTACTTCCTTTAGAGTCAGCAGTCAGACTCTGATCACAGACTCCACCAGACGCACTATGGGAAGGCAACGATGATGATGATCTCCTGTTACACATCTTAGGTAAGTGTTGCATGTCTCCATTTAGTCATAATGATTACATTTTTTTTATTTGTTTTTTTTTCATATCTGGTGTGGTATGCCAAGTCTGAAGGAGGTTTATTGTTAATGTATTACAATTTCTACAAAGTTCAGATCACATAATTTACACATTGAGCAGTACACAGCCAGCGCAACAGAATAAACCTTCACAGAGGCAAATAAGGTGGTGAACAAAGACATCTGGAATGACGTACACAACTGACATGTTTCACACATTCATCTGTATTTCCAATTTGTCAAGTAGGCAGTGGTTTTCTTTTTCTTTTCCCTTTTTGTTTCCTTCTTCCTTTCTTTCTAAGGGTTAATTATTTTATGTTTCTGTAGAAAGCGGGTGTTTGTCTTTAGTTTGCTGTAAATCAGTCAAGTTCCGTCCCTCTCCTCCCTAATGACTCCCTGTCAGTCTGTAAACGGAGGGGCTGACCTTCGCTGGAGTTTCCCGGCTTTACTCTGCAACTGCTCCTTTGCCTCGAAAACACTCCCAGCAGCCCCTCCCCGCCAAATGCCTCAGTCAGGCTCTGTCCAAGCATGAGTGTTGGTGTAGGTGTACGTTCTGCAGGGCAGACCGCAGAGAGCCGCCTGACCAAAAACCAATGACCTCCTGATGTCTGATTTCAGGTCGCGAGAGAAGACACAAGCGCCACGATGGATTACAAATATGACACCGGACTGGAACTGCTGTTGGCTCACATGAACGTAGAGGACATCATCAACGCAGCAGAGACGCTCTATCAGCTCGAGGAAGAGGAGGAAGAAGTGGGCTTGTCGTTTGATGAAGAGGGGCTTTCCCAGGAGGAGATGGACGAGAACGAGGAGATCGGGGACAGAGTGAGTCCGGGGAAGGAGCAGAAGGACTACGCCAACGGGGTTGGGGGTGTCCGCTACGGGTCGGTGCAAGACATCCTGGCCTTCGTGAACCTCCTGTCCAACATGCAGGCTGCGGCTCTGCAGCACCTGCCCGAGGAGATGGGAGTCCTCCTGAACAAGGTGCGGCTCGCTGCCTTCACCCACAGGTCTTTTGCTGACGCTTAGTGTTTTCTTTCAGAAGTTTAACTTTGTTTTTATGCTGTGCAGAAGGACATGGCTGTTAAGAAAGGCCGCTATCAGATCAACCTGGATGTTCTCCTGTTTCCATGGAAGTTGACCTACAAGAATCCAGGCTCTGGTCTCGTGCCTAAGGGCTCCTTTGGGAAAGTTCACTTGGCTCAGGACATTACGACCAGGAAGAGGATGGCCTGTAAACTGGTGAGTGCTCTCTGGAATTCGACCTGCGCCTGATTTCTTGTAACTCTCTCTCTCTGAGTGCCAAATATTTCCTCAGCCCAAGTGAAGTACAGCGTGCTCGTGTGGCGGCGCATGCAGAGACCAGTCATGTGTGCATAACTCAGCCACAGTTTCCTCTGAATTGAAAGAGGAAGAGAGCGCGGCGCTCTGTTGAAAACGTACAAAAAGGGAAAAGGCTGAAGCAAGACTGGACATTCAACATAACTTCCCACTGCAGCCCTTGTTGTCTTTTCTTCTTCTTTTTTTCAACAATTTCAGTGAAAATGCCACAATTTCCACAAGACATCATGTGATCTTTATATGTGTGCAACGATGTCTATGTGCGTCTGTGGCGCTGTGGTTGTGGAGGGGGTGTTGTTTACTCTTTGGTGCATGGAAAATATTGACAAATGAGGAAGGAGCAGTTTCCTACCTTTCCTACCTATCAGAACTTCATGTTGACTCTGCACGCTGCAGTGAATACGCTGGGAAAACTTCCTGGAGCCAGTTTATAGGGGATGCTGGGAATCTCTGAGTCATGACATGGAGGTCACAAAAAATGCTGCTATAATTAAATCACTTTGCTAATATATTATGCAAAGTTGCAATATAGTTTTTTTCTTCTTCTTCTCTATTTGTTTCAGGAACAAGTTGGATTGGATTTGTCTTTTTTTTCTGCAGGTTAACCAAGATAACTACTGTTAGCAACATAAGATGGCAGACGTATTTCATGGCATGTTCTCCACTTAAACACATTATTAATGCATTCAGTACTTGAGGTTGTGTAATATTATGATGACTTGCAATCGACTTAGTGAAAATATAAGTGATCACACTGGCACTGTTCCTATCTTCAAATTTTCCAGTCGTTCCGAAATACAATGCAGCACAGGTTGTTCAGCTGCATGATTTGCATGAATATTATCTGTATTCCATGCAAAATACGTTTCAAGTTATGTTTTAAAGTCACAAAATAAAGTGATGTGTGATGGAGGAAGAAGGAAAATAGTGGAAAAAGCCCCAGGTGTCCTATAGGTGTGTCACCCATTTTGGATTGTGTTGTTGTGTTGGTAGAGAACATTTGGCTTTTGAATAACTTTCAGTCCAGGAGATTCATTTGAATTGGAACTCGGAAACTCGCAGAACAAATGGAATGTGTCAGCAAGAGTTGTTGTTCATCGCTAAGCTAAACTAAGTTATCCGGCCTGGCTTAGCTTCCTTCCAGGTGATTTAGAGATGTCAAACAACAGGTTGGGGAAGCAACCACTTTTCTCTGGTATGAAGGCTGAAGACCTGCAGCTTCAGTCTTTAGAGCAGGACTGAAGCTGCCAGTCTTGATGTGAAGATTGCGGTTTTGCGGCTAGCGTTAGCTTTGTTGCTAAGCTAAGTCAAAATCAGAAAAGCTGCAGGTAAACCGGAATCTCTGAATGGCCTAAACTGAACACACACACACACACACACACTGATTAGCATAGCTTGTGCTCTGCTATGCTAATCAGTGTTATTGACCTAGTTTCCTACAACTTCCTGAACTTCCTATTTTGTTCATGTTTTTTTAAGAAGCCCAACATAGAACTATTTGTAAACACTTTTTAAAGTGCTACTATTAACCTATAATAATTTCACATTTCAAAATTTTCCCTAAAGTTTTAAACATTTAAAATGTTTATATTAGTTCAAAATTGTCGGTTATATCCCAACATAAATGATACTTTAAGCGTTTTAGGCACATAGTGTTTTTATATTTGACAGTACAGCAATCCCTGTTTGCGTATTAAAATACATTTGGCTAAAAACCTTGCTCTTTCTTTCTTACTTGATGAACTCTTTCTCTAGCATTTCATGTTTCTGCAAGTTTGCATGTTAATTTATTTACCAAAAGCATTGCTCCATCCTTTAACTTGAGCGAACACGTCCACTCCTGCTATTGATTTCAACTTCGCGTTCGATCTTTCTCCCCACAGATCCCCATCGAGAACTTCAAAGCAGCCGATGTGGAGTTCCAGGCCCGATTCCGCCACGAGAACATCGCGGAGCTGTACGGCGCCGTGCTCTGGGACCAGAGCGTCCACCTGTTCATGGAGGCTGGGGAAGGTGGCTCAGTCCTGGAGAAGCTGGACAGCTGCGGGCCCATGAGGGAGTTTGAGATCATTTGGGTGACCAAGCAGGTCCTGCGCGGGCTGGAGTACCTGCACTCGCACAAAGTCATCCACCACGACATCAAACGTAAGAGAAACAGGAAATGAATGCTTTGCTCTTCACGCCTGTTAGCGGACGTGCTGAGCTTGCCGAGGAAATGGCCGAGCAGCTTTGTGACAATATCCTAGTTTCGCTTTGAAGCGAAGCCTCAGATGAGTGTAGTTCATGTCACTCATTTTCTGAGAAGGAAAAGTGACTCATTTAAGACAACCAGAAAGCAAATCTTCAAATGCTGCCAGGTGAGGCTGACAAAAATCCGATGTTCACCATCAATGCCCGGAATGTAGAGCGTAAAGAAGAAATATGATGAAAGGTAGCCACCCAGTACAGCTGGGATCAAAGGATTTCACTCACAAATCTGTCAGCCTTAAAGTATCCCAGTGTGGAAATTCCAACCTCGTTCTCAGTCAGAGCTGGTGTCTGGAAAAAGGGCTAAAGGTTTACGACAACAGCCAGCCTGTCCCTCTGGTTTGTCTCTGTGGTATGCAACACATTCCTGCTAATGATCAAACCCCAACTCTGTTTCTCTCAAGGAGTGTTTTGCTGGCAAGGATTAGCTTCACCAAAACCATTCACTTCACTTCCTTGTCCACATGCCTTTGACACACCCTACATCCTTCTCATTTCAAATCAGCACAAAACACATTCCACAGCCTCTAGGTTGGAATGTGTTGGCTTTTTTCTGCAGAAACTCCAAAATTGCTAAAAAGACAAAAGAAAAACCTCTCCGATTTGCAACATCTCTGAATCATTGCGTTCTCCTTTCTCAGCCAGCAACATCGTCCTGATGTCGGACAAGGCCGTGCTGGTGGACTTTGGTCTGACGGTGCAGATGACAGAGGACATGTACACCCCCAGAGACCTCAGAGGAACAGAGGTAAGAAAAAACAAAACAAAAGCCTGATGCAACCGTACAGGATGCAAGCGTAAGCTTCTTTCGAACACAGCCTCTCTCTGTTGCTGCTTCCTTGAATCAAACTTGATGCATGTTTACTAGAAAAGCCAGCAGGCGTCTTGTTTCTGACTCAGGCTCAATTCCCCCCCTCACACAAGTTTTCACTAATTAGTCATTAAACTTGTCTGCACTTGTTTGTCCTTTTGTGACACTCTTCTAAAGATCGAGCTCTTGAGATCAACGACCAGCAAGCTTTACTTGCTGGACACAAAACTCAGAACGGTTTTGTGTCTGTCCAGGACGCTCTCGCTTTGATCTGCAGGAGGTTTTGGAAAGAGTTCAAGGGATTTCTCAAACGCCCGTCTCTCCCAACAACATACGCTCCCTGCTTTTCAGATGTTTGAGCCTGTTTGTGTGTCACATCTGCACGCAGAGCCTCTCGCGGCTTGGCTTGCGGAAAGTCCCAGGGCAGACACCCAGTGGCAACAAGAGAGCGAGAGAGAGCCTGAGAATACGGCGAGATGCTCAGACACAGATTAACACGGGAGAGCAAGCTGGAATTTCCAGCAGAGAAAAACAAAGATGAACTCAGCTGCTGTGTTTGCTTTTCACTCGAAGGCCAATAAACATTTGGCACTGAACATACCTTGACACACATACACACAGAGCGTGGGCCGAAAGGTTAGCTTGTTTATCCCAGAAAGCCCCTTTTTGTGTAAGAGGACACTTCCTGTTTGCTGCTTCTCTGATAGTCAGAATTCAATAGATGATCACTAAAAGTGGAACAGCTTTCACTTCTCGTTCTGTCGTTTTGGGTCTGCAGCCCACATGTGGCATTTATGTGGTTTCACGTTCTTTTCAAACAGATGTATATGAGTCCAGAACTGGTTCTGTGTCGAGGACATAACACCAAGACGGACATCTACAGTCTGGGCACCACCATCATCCATATGCAGACTGCTAGTCCTCCCTGGGTCAGGCGCTACCCGCGCACCGCCTACCCGTCCTACCTTTACATTGTGAGTACTCTTGCTCATTTCAATTGTTTTTCTCACTTTTGACATGTAATCATAGACAAGCACAACGTAAGTCTCAAACAGAATGGTTTGGAGAAAGTTCATAGTACCATTGCGCGGGGATTTGCAAGGAGCAAGCAAATCAGGAACAGAAATCCATATATTCACTGAGGCGACTGTGACTCAGTGGGCAGAGGCGTCATCTTGCAATCGGAAGGTTGTGGGGTTGATTCCAGCTTCCTCCTGGTCAAGTTGACCCCAAGTTGCATCTGTGAAAGCAAATGGGTTAATGTAACTGTACTATGAAGAGTTCTGTCTATTGAAACTGAGTGAAAGGAGCTCCATATGAGATGAGTCCATTTATCATTTAATCTGGCATAGCATCAGCTACATGCAAAGTGCATGCTGGGGTCCTTCAACCCAGGTTTCAAGGGCCGGAGTGCTGCAACTTTTGGATGCGTCCTTGATCCAACACACCTTAATCAAATTACCTCATTATTTGACTCGGGTGTGTGGAAGCAGAGACGCATCTAAAAGTTGCAGGACGCCGGACCTTGAGGCCTCCTCTATTGACTGAACACTTTAAATACTGAGGGAGCAACTTTATTAGCAAGCCAACACATGTTTGGCTTGTGGCCTTTATCAGGATCCTTACAAACCACCGAAACAGTTTGTGCTTAAATAAAAACAGATACTGCACTCATCTACAACAGGTACCAGAGGACAAAACTGGTGACGTAAACGGTGGAGTGATGGGCAGCGACGGCACCGTCCGACCGTTAAATCATTTGCAAGAAGACGCTTTGCTGATGCATCAGTCGAGATTGACAGAGTTCAGTACTGGGTTGCGTCTGTACTAGCATAACACCGGCTAAACACGTCATGTGGTTGCACGGCACGGGGCGTGCAAAGATGAAGCTGCATTCTAGAGTTGGAACCAACTGCAAGAGAATTTTGACATTTTGTCAAACAAAACAGTCCAACCCAACCCTATGGTAACCCTATCATACTTGTCTCAGTACTTTTGCCTAGTTGTTATGCTCATCAGGCTCATTATCCGGTTTATAGACTAAAACTGACCTGTTTTTGTTTCAGGCTAAGTTCTTGTGTCGAGACCACCAAAATGCCAGACAGGCTCACATGTCGCTGCCAAACATAGGGCATCCAATAATAATTACTAAGAGACATTTTTTGCTATCATTGCATTTGTCAATATTGGAGAAGCAAGATAAAGTCAAGCTTGGCAACAAAACTCCTCAAGACAGGCAGACATAACTTGCTGCGCTTAAAAGCCTGACGTCAGTTTCCGTGACTTATTTCAGACTAGATTGTGAGGAGATAAGATGAGTTTGACCTATTGCACACTTAGTGAGCCAACGTCACTTCTGCTTCTTTGCGTCTCTACTTCTTCCATTACATGGTTCTGCTTGTTGAATGGTTACCTTTTATTTTTTTTAATATACTGTATATTCAAGCAGTTACTCACTTCTCCATGAAACCCGTCATGGAGCATTGGTTATATACCTCTGCAGTCTCAGTCTTACTATAGCCCATTGTTCTGTTTTTAACTTGTCAGACAAATTGCTATGTTTGCTGACAGAGATATTTTGGGACATTTGCACACCGTTTGGTCTGGCTGAGGTTTAATGAGACGCGTCCTGTGTTCGGTGTGTGCTGACAGATCCACAAGCAGGCCCCGCCTCTGGAGGACATACCTGAGGACTGCAGCGCGGCCATGCGCTCCTTCCTGGGGCGAGCCCTGGAGAGGAACCCCGCCCTGCGGAGCTCTGCATCCGAGCTGCTGAAGGACGACGCCCTGAACCCCCCCAGGGAGGACCAGCCGCGCTGCTGGAGCCTCGACTCGGCCCTGGAGGAGGCCACCCACGCGTTGCTGCGGCAGCCCAGCCACCAACACGACACAACGCAGGGTGAGCCCTTTGGAACTGCGCTCCAAACTGTCATGGTATCAGAGACGCAACTGGATTTTAACACATGCTCGCCTTTCTCCTCTGCAGAATCATCTCTGTACTCCGAAGACTCTGGCCACTTAAGGAGGAAGGGCTCGCTGTACATTGACTTGGGGGCCTTGTCAGGGTACAGCAAACTGGTGACAGGACCCCCTACCTCTGAGTACGGCTAACGTTTCACCCCCAAGAGACTGCTGTGACCAGAAGCCGAGCTGTGGTTACAGCTGGCTGCCCATCTGCTTTGATCCTTTGAGTCGTAACTCACAGTGAGCTGCAGGCAGCGTGACTCATGAGGAAAACGGAAGAGACATGGTACCCGGGTTCAGCAGACTCTTTACATTAGGTGGAAGCAGATGTTGTGACAAGTTTTTTTTGGTTTTGTTTTACACTCGCAGCCTTTAAGCCTCAAGTTTAAGCCTTAAAGAGACGTGAGTGAACAGAAGCACATCTGCTTTGAGTCTCGCATCTATTAATGGGTGGAATTGTCTTCCCACAGACTAACATCATGGTACTGTGGGGAGTTCAGTTGACCGATGATGCAGCAATGACTGTTTTTTTAGCAAGAGTTTCCTATATCCTTTCCAGCTAAAGTGGGTACATGTATGTTTTATTTACATATTCTCATTAATCCAAGACACCTTTTCACATCTTTATGTTTTGCGAAAGAGGAAATTCGTAAAAAAAACCCCCAAAAAAACATAGACAAAGTCATTCAAACATAGCGATGGATTCCTGCAGGTTGAAATAAAGTGTGTCATTAAAGATATAGATCTGCAGGAGAAATAAAGAACCACCACTCTGTGGTGGTTCTTTATTTCTATATACTCATCAGAAACAATTCTGACTTCCTGAATTAATTATTTTTTAGCTCATGTTGGAATCCTTTTCTCTGGGGACTATTTTATTCTCTATCAAAAACACTTTCCTTTATGACAGGCTGCATAGAATAGGGTTATTTGTTGTAAATAGCTCTTTAACGAGGATCCCAACTAAAAGAAAAGCTGCGAAGCTGTGACGCACAAAAAAACTGGGTTTCATTGTGGTTGTTTGCAAAATAGACCAGTTTTGATAAAGCCAAAAAAAAAAAAAAAAAACATTAAAAAATGTACATCCCAATTTTTTTAAATTTTTTTTTATCGGAAACAAGTTTTTTTCCCCTAAATTGACGTTATAAGTTTCTTTTCAAAACGTCAAGTCTCGCCTAATCATGAATGGGAACGCAGCTCCTGAGGCTTTTCTCAGGCAAACACTGCAGCACAGCGACTGCTGAAGAGGCGTTGAGAAAGGCCAGGCAATATTTATTGTTTACTTTCCTTTATTTTCTTTGCGGTCGGAACCGGAGCGCAGCTTCTCACGGCTCGACAGACTCGCATCATCCAGACACGACCGGCTGTGATGACGTAAAGTTGGCTTTTGCGAGTTCAAGCTCTGAGCTTACAGCGTTTTAAGCTCTCTGCCGATCGTTTTTGGCGTGAAGCTGGCCTGGAAGGGGTGCCGGTTTATCTCTTGGAGTGTAAGCTATATGTTTACGTATGTGTGAATTACACAGGCATGTACTGAATCATTCTGTAGTTCAATTATGGACTTTCCTCTTGTTGATTCCTGTGGAATATTTATACCATCCCCTCTTCCCTTCCACTCGTCGTATGAAAAAAAAGCTGAAGAATGCATATGTGATTTGTGTTGTGCACATCTTGTTAGATAATGTCTGCTATATCCACTTTTTTGGTATTAATCATAAAAATTACCCGGTGTTTGCAATATGTTTATTTTGTATGTAATAAATACAATAAAAGAAGCAAAAAAAAAAATCCAGTGTCACTGTATTAATCACTATGTCCAACAACAACTGAGTCATTTTTTTAACAGACTATGTCGCATCCATCAATCTATAATATCCTATTACGTTTTAGGACGCTGTGAGTTAATCTATTCTACACATACAAAGAGTTGCAATGAATATATAACAAGTTCATATTTGTCACATCACTACCAGATTGTTCAGTTCAAATTTGAAATTATGTGATTGAGCCCAAAGGGAAAATAAATGCTGCAACACAAATTATTCAGTGCTCTTGAAAGACATTTGGGTTCTGATAGCTGTAGCAGTCTGTGTTGCAGCAGCTGTGTTGTTCATAACTTTCTTGATTAGTCCAAGACAAACAAAAAGTAGCACCAATGCAGTGAGGTGAAAGGGAATTTATGGATGGTTTTAGAAATAAGAAACAAAGAAAACCAAGATTGCCTTTGTCCATACTTTGCAAAATAGCTCAATTTCAAGACGGATGTCCTCGCGAAAACAAATGGATCTCCTCCGCCTGCTCAATGAGAAACGAATAAACCAATCTAAAGGATGATGGTTCTGAAATGTGTTCTGGGAAAAACTTCAGCACAGATTGTACACAAAGCTATAAGTCTAGAGGCTTTTATATAGTTTAAATGCTACATTTTTGGCAATATTTCATTTTAAAAAATGCAAAAATGCATCTTATTTTTTCACTATTGCTATTTTTTCACTATTGCAGAATTGTTTCTGAACCTCAGAAAACCTCAGAAGCTTGATGTTGAGAAAGGACCCCCGTGTGAGATATATATATATATATATATATATATATATATATATATATATATATATATATATGTGTGTGTGTGTGTGTGTGTGTGTGTGTGTGTGTGTGTGTGTGGGTGTGTGTGTGTGTGTGTGTGTGTGTGTGTGTGTGTGCTACCATCAGAACAATTATGGCCAGCCCTTCGTCAGCAGCTCATTTCTGTAGGAAACTCGGTGATTGTAAAGAGCTTTGCAAATTCATTCCCCACACCTCTGAACAAAATGTTAAATATGGCAAAATGCCATAAGTGAGTTATTTTCTCTTTCTTTTATTCCTGCTTGAAAACTACATTCTTTGGCAATTTGGTAGAAATGCAATAAAACGAAGATGGGGGAAAAATGTGTGCAGTCAACTTATGAATAATATTTCAACAAGCCTCTAAGCTACGTTGCTGTGACTGCGACCATATTTAGTCATGGCCAACATCAGCTTGTGATATTACATCAGGGAAACCCAGAACTGGAAAAGGGTTTTCTCCTATCTGCATTCTGGGCCTACACTTCCTCTTTCTAAATTCATCACGAGTCACTGCTGGACGAAGCTGACACTCCTGCGAGCAGCTGCAGCTTCCAGCTGAACGCAGCAGTCCCGTTCTGCCACCTGCTGGTCAGAGGGGGGTACTACATCAGCGTTGTCACATTCCATTCTATAACTTTTACATATTTTTGGAATAAATATGGTTTTGTTCTCATGATGGTGGTATATTGGTCAGCATAACAATTAACATGTGTTATATTCCCGGCCTTCAGATAATTTTACAGGAAAAACAAAAGACAGGTACTTGTGGTCAAATTTTGCTTCAATTGAGCTTTGGAACTGATATCACTGCACGTGACGTCAGTTCCAAATTTTGGACAAATATTTCAATTTTTGTACGGCGATGGCGGTATAGTGGTCAGCATAGCTGCTTGCCAAGTAGTTGACCCGGGTTCGATTCCCAGCCATCGCATTGAAGTACCGACATTAAGGAGTTATGTTTTGGCGTTTCGTTCTTTAAATATAGGTATGCTGCAGAAACAAATTGCACAAATTCAAGCACTGTTGTGCTGATGGTGGTATAGTGGTAGCATAGCTGCTTACCACGAAATTGTCACAGGCTCAAATCCCAGCCATCGTAGTCCTTTTCCTATATAATGGAGGAAGGCTTCATGTCTTGTTGTTCCGTGCTCTAAATCTTGATAATCTGCAGAAAATTTTTTGAACAAACATAAATTACTGTCAGGCGATGGTGGTATAGAGGTCAACATAGCTGATTGCCAAGTAGTTGACCCGGGTTCAATTCCTATTTAAGGAAGGAAAGCATGATATCTTGTTGTTTTGTGTTCTAAAACATGGTAATCTGCGGAAAAATTTTGTACAAATATCTTTAGTTTTGTACGGCGATGGTGGTATAGTGGTCAGCATAGATGCCTTCCAAGCATTTGACCCGGGTTCAATTCCCGGCCATCGCATGGAATTACCGAAGTGAAGGAGTTATGTTTTGGCGTTTCATTCTTTAAATATAGGTATGCTCCAGAAAAAATTGCACAAATTCAAGCACTGTTGTGGTGATGGAGGCATAGTGGTCAGCATAGCTGATTGCCTAGCAGTTGTCACAGGTTCATTTCCCAGCCATCGTAGTCCTTTTCCTACACAAGGAAGGAAGGCTTGATATCTTGTTGTATTGTGTTCTAAAACATGGTAATCTGCGGAAAAATTTTGTACAAATATCTTTGTTTTTGTACGGCGATGGTGGTATAGTGGTCAGCATAGCTGCCTTCCAAGCAGTTGACCTGGGTTTGATTCCCTGCCATCGCGGTCTATTTCCTATATAAGGAAGGAAGGCATGATATCTTATTGTTTTGTGTTAAAAACTTGGTAATCTGCGGGAAAATTTTGTACAAATATCTTTGTTTTTGTACGGCGATGGTGGTATAGTGGTCAGCATAGCTGCCTTCCAAACATTTGACCCAGGTTCAATTCCCGGCCATCACAGTCTATTTCCTATATAAGGAAGGAAGGCATCATGTTTTGTGTTCAAAAACTTGGTAATCTGCGGAAAAATTTTGTACAAATATCTTTGTTTTTGTACGGCGATGGTGGTATAGTGGTCAGCATAGCTGCTTGCCACGAAATTGTCACAGGCTCAAATCCCAGCCATCGTAGTCCTTTTCCTTTATAATGGAGGAAGGCTTCATGTCTTGTTGTTTTGTGCTGTCAACCTTGGTAAATTGTGGAAAAATTTGGGACAAATATTTTCATTTTTTTAAGGAGATGGTGGTATAGTGGTCAGCATAGCTGCTTGCCAAGCAGTTGACCCGGGTTTGATTCCCGGCCATCGCAGTCTATTTCTTATATAAGGAAGGAAGGCATGATATCTTATTGTTTTGTGTTAAAAACTTGGTATTCTGCGGGAAAATTTTGTACAAATATCTAATCTTTTGTATGGTGATGGTGGTATAGTGGTCAGCATAGCTGCCTTCCAAGCAGTTGACCCGGGTTCAATTCCGGCCATTGCAATTCTTTTCCTATACAATGGAGAAAGGCATCATGTCTTGTTGTCTGGTGCTGTCAACCTTGGTAAATTGTGGAAAAATTTGGGACAAATATTTTCATTTTTTTAAGGAGATGGTGGTATAGTGGTTAGCATAGCTGCCTTCCAAGCAGTTGACCTGGGTTCAATTCCCGGCCATCGCAGGCTATTTCATATATAAGGAAGAAAGGCATGATATCTTATTGTTTTGTGTTAAAAACTTGGTAATCTGCGGAAAAATTTTGTACAAATATCTATGTTTTTTTATGGCGATGGTGTTATAGTGGTCAGCATAGCTGCCTTCCAAGCAGTTGACCCGGTTCAATTCCCGGCCATCGCAGTCTATTTCATATATAAGGAAGAAAGGCATGATATCTTGTTGTTTTGTGTTAAAAACTTGGTAATCTGCGGAAAAATTTTGTACAAATATCTATGTTTTTTTATGGCGATGGTGTTATAGTGGTCAGCATAGCTGCCTTCCAAGCAGTTGACCCGGGTTCAATTCCCGGCCATCGCAGTCTATTTCATATATAAGGAAGAAAGGCATGATATCTTGTTGTTTTGTGTTCAAAAACGTGGTAATCTGCGGAAAAATTTTGGACAAATATCTATGTTTTTTTACGGCGATGGTGTTGTAGTGATCAGCATAGCTGCCTTCCAAGCAGTTGACCCGGGATCAATTCCCGGCCATCGCAGTCTATTTCATATATAAGGAAGAAAGGCATGATATCTTGTTGTTTTGTGTTCAAAAACTTGGTAATCTGCGGAAAAATTTTGTACATATATCTTTAGTTTTGTATGGCGATGGTGTTATAGTGGTCAGCATAGCTGCTTGCCAAGCAGTTGACCCGGGTTTGATTCCCTGCCATCGCAGTCTATTTCTTATATAACGAAGGAAGGCATGATATCTTATTGTTTTGTGTTAAAAACTTGGTAATCTGCGGGAAAATTTTGTACAAATATCTAAACTTTTGTATGGTGATGGTGTTATAGAGGTCAACATAGCTGATTGCCAAGTAGTTGACCCGGGTTCAATTCCCGGCCATCACAGTCTATTCCCTATATAAGGAAGGAAGGCATGATATCTTGTTGTTTTGTGTTCAAAAACTTGGTAATCTGCGGAAAAATTTTGTACAAATATCTTTGTTTTTGTACGGCGATGGTGGTATAGTGGTCAGCATAGCTGCCTTCCAAGCAGTTGACCCGGGTTCAATTCCTGGCCATCGCAATTCTTTTCCTATACAATGGAGAAAGGCATCATGTCTTGTTGTTTGGTGCTGTCAACCTTGATAAATTGTGGAAAGATTTTGGACAAATATTTTCATTTTTGTAAGGCGATGGTGGTATAGTGGTCAGCATAGCTGCCTTCCAAGCAGTTGACCCGGTTTCAATTCCCGGCCATCGCAGTCTATTTCATATATAAGGAAGAAAGGCATGATATCTTAATGTTTTGTGTTCAAAAACTTGGTAATCTGCGGAAAAATTTTGGACAAATATCTTTGTTTTTGTACGGCGATGGTGGTATAGTGGTCAGCATAGCTGCCTTCCAAGCAGTTGACCCGGGTTCAATTCCCTGCCATCGCAGTCTATTTCCTATATAAGGAAGGAGGGCATGATATCTTGTTGTTTTGTGTTCAAAAACTTGGTAATCTGCGGAAAAATTTGGTACAAATATCTTTAGTTTTGTACG